TACTTTTTTTCTACTAATAATATTTTACTTACATAAATATAAAAACTTTCAGTTTTTTAATCTTTTTTATAAAGTTTATATTTTTTAAGAAATAATATGACCAAAAAAATAAAAACTAAAAGTATTAGAAAATAAAAAAATAAGTAAATAAAAAAATAATGTGCTATATTTTTGTACTATTTCTTTCTGCGAAAAAAGAGAAGAGTTGAGAGCTATTAGTTTTTATTTTGCGCTCATAATACTAGAATTTTCTCTGGTCGGAGGTGCTCTTGACCCCGCGCGAAGAAACTCACACGGACTCCTGATGCGTGTCACATGCGAGCACGCCTTAATGCACCTTTTATTACGCGAAAACCGCTTCATTCGAGAAAATTGATCGAGTGTGAAAGGCCTCGTTCCACGATCCATTAGAATTCCATGCGCTTTGATCTTTTCAACGAGCCGGAGTGTATCTGATCGCCCGGCTGTTTTCCCCTCTCCTTTTTTATGAAAAGCGCTTTTTTCACGGAAATCAAGCGCCGCGATACAATGAAATTAAATTGCCAAACAACGCTTTAACACGGTTTCATTCTTTCGCGCGATATTAAGTTATTGAAATAGGACGTCGAGAGAGAGAGACAGAGAGAGAAAGAGAGAGAGAGAGAGAGAGAGAGAGAGAGAGAGAGAGAAAGAGAAAGAGAAAGAGAAAGATAGATAGATAGAGTGTCGTTTCCCGTTTGGAAAACTTTGTTTCTCTCAGACAAAAGAGAGAAACACCTCACATGTGTGATTGGCAATCTTCCGTGTGTCGCAGGTCGCTGGACTACAAAAATCTAAGTAAATCGCGGCAAGCTGCAGATATATCACTTTTCACGAGAGCGAGGGAAGCTTTCTGTAGAAGCTCACGATTTCTGAACGTAAGCCTATCAACGCGGAGACCATTATTGTCGGTCGCCCTTCGTGCGGGGGGGAGGTCCTGAAAAGACGATAGCTAGAGAAAAAGAGATCGTTCCGGGAGCGCCGATCGTCTAACCTTGCATGGGCGCGCTCTGGACGCCCTGATGCCCTCTAATAGCCTTAATGAAGTGTGTACACCTAATGTGTACGTAGAGTCGGGCGCGGCGTCATAACGACACTAATTTTTAAGCATAACCATACACCCAGCTTCACAACGTGTGAACGAGAGGGGTTCTCAAAGGTCCCGGCAAAAACGCGTCTTCGCGCAGAATCCCTTCAGACTCGCAGCGGGACGTTTCACGTATTTTTCGACAAATTAGGATGACCTTGAAATCGGAGAACCAAACCGGTTAATTCCGACCGGTGTATTTTTTGCGTTGTAGATAAAAAAAAAAAAAAAAAAAAAAATGATGCCCCAATAATATATAGACATACATCTTTTTCTTTCTCTCATTATCGTGAAAATATATGCGTATCATATAATATATGCGTGACATACGATATAAATTGATATATGAAGTGCGCACTTATCGATTAATTACATCGTGAATTAACGGAACATTAAACAGATAAATTCCGTTAATCGTCGGCGCAATAACAGCTAAGTAGAAATTTATCTGCGCGTCCCGTTTTATTGTTCCAAATGAGTCCCGCTGCAGAGCAAATCGAGTGCGCTCGCTCACGAGAGCGATTATTATTTCGCGGAGGCACAACTGTTACGTCCTGGCCCATGGATACGGTCGGGCTGTGGTGTGACGCAACAGTAAACGCATCGTTTTCCATATCTCTCTCTACAGTGGACACGGAAGTCCTGCTGCGAGAGAGTCGAGCGAGTTTGTTTATGTTCGTTGACAGGTCAACGGCGTNCACGATTTCTATTTGCGCGCCTGGCGCGTCGAAGTCCGAGTCCATTCATGTTATTTATTGAGAAAAAACGGAATTTATTGTATGTCGGCGCGTCACGTTGCAAGAAAAAGGGGCCCGTGGAGTCCCCAGGACGTAACACAACACTAATTCCGGATAATTGCGCTCGACGAAATTATTAGCGCCAAAAAAATGTCGCAACGTTTCCTCCGCGCGCGAGTCTAAGCTAGAGCGCATTTCCGCCTACACAAAACCCCCGTTGAGGTAAACCTGAGCCATTACGACTGTATTGTATACGCGCGTGTGCTTATAGGAATATTATTTCGACTCCTATGTATGTATATATGTATATACACGTATACATCAAAATTAGGCTATGGTTTTACATGAGCCGTTTGTACGAAGCTTATGCAGAAACGGTAATACCGTTGCGATGTTTATGTGGGCGTAATATCGGATGGAAAGATATTGAATTACGCATAAATTCTATAAATTGATATGTAGATTTAGCTTTAATAATAATGTTGTTCGTTTAATCTCATTATGTAACACATAATATTACATGTGTATAAAATAAAGGGAATAAGTTTAAAATTAAATCCTTCGCATAAACAATTTACATGTGTATTTTCAATAAGAAACTAATGCATTAATTATTAGTTTTAATAGTCTCTTGATTACTATTTATCGTGCATTTTGCACTCTCAGCGTTTTCATCATTTTGCCCGTAACGCTAAGTATTGTGCTTTTTCATGCGTATTATCTAACTTAAAAAGTTGATTTCTCTTTTTTTTTTATACAATAATTGTAACTTTTTTATTTAAAATACATTTGAATCAAGCAGAAAATAAGACTCAGATTCGCGCAAATAGGTAGGTAGCATTTAGCTTCTGAATGCGATATAGGGAGATTACGAACCACAGTCTCGAGAGTAAGATAAGCACCAATGATGACGACGGTCTTTATCTCGGCAGATGGACTAATAGAAGTCATTTGCGATGTCGTTAGGGACAGTTTTCGTACGTATAATATCGCGATAATTTTTGCAAGCAGGAAAAATCGTTTTAAACGGCGTCTCAACCGGACCGGTGATTTTTCTCTATCAAGAAACACGAAAGAAAAGGAAAAGAGGCGAAAGAAAGAAGAAGAGAGACTCTATCAGTAGACGTAGACGGAAGCGTTAAAAGACGAAGAGGTAGAAGTATGAAGTGAGCATATTACTATTGAGAATAAGTACCTGGCTTCGAGACGGGGCCTCCGTTTCGAAGAGGAGGGCATGAAGTAATGGGGGATGGTCGGCGGGGGTGTAAATGGGGTGGCACAATGGGCACTAATGGATCTCAAGCCGCCGCGAGAGGCGCTGCTTTTAATCTAATTGTCCTTCGTAGCAACCGCGATCGCGATCAGTGGTATTCAACTGTGATCCTTCACCTGTACAGGAAATAAGAAGAGAGAGAGAAAGAGAGAAAGAGAAAGAGAGACAGAGAAGAGGATTGCTGTGCATTTTGTAAAACGTAGAAAGCGACCTGTAATATCCGTCGAAATAGACGGATCTTAATGCCGGAAATTTTTTCTTTTCTTTTTGTATCCGTAGTCACACAATTCGTTTCTTACGTACAAGAACGTTTTTTTTTTTCAGAAATTTATCACAACCAGCGCGATATCTGTTGTATGATGCAAAATTTATTAATTTCGATTCTTTCTGTTTAAATACGATACCAAAGACGCCGCAAGGTTATCGGGCCGCGATATAGTCAGACGTACGAAATCGGGGCGAAGTGGACCTCGAGCGTTTCTTTCTCCCTGTAGTGGTTCCATTTAGCGGAACTTGGCAGTATTATGTGACGGACGGGCTGTTGAGCTAAAATGCAAGCGGAGAGTTTCGAAAGCGCGCGCGTACTTGTCATAATGTGGCAATGCAAAATGTCTGCGCCGCTTCTCGAGTGTAATACTCCTCGCCTAAAAAATGTACGAAGGTGCTCGCGTTACTACTCATCTGTTGGCTATCTGTGATCGACGTTACTGTCGACGCGCTTTCCGCACATCATCTGGTCTCTTTATTTGATATTATAAATTATCAAAAAATTTAGGTCGTTGTTAGAGCGAGAAATCATTTAATCATCTATAATTCTCGCTTGTAAAACCTCCGCGCGAAATACTGGTGAAACGAAATATCATCCACCCAGCGCGGTTATCTTTGATCTCGTCCGTCGAGCCGGGCAGGTGGTGCAATAATTACCTTTTCCGTGCGATAACGTCAGCGATAGCAATATAATTCTCGCGTTCGTCGGTAACGGCCTTCGCCCTTCTTTACGCGACAGATAAATTTCTGATAACGCGGATAAATTGGTTGGATTGTAATTGCCGTTGTGCGTGTTACCGGCGTGTTCACGCCGGAATGCTCTCGATCCCCCTTCTCGCTTCTGAACAAAATTCACTTTCGATAGCGGAAAATGCAGAGAGATCGTCAGAGGGAGGTGCGTGAAGCATCGGTCGACGGGGGAGGATAGAGTGGGAGAGCGGGGGCGCGATTAAACACGCGCGCGCGCGCGTAGGACGCACAGTCGGCCCGTTTTAGGGTCCGTGGGAATTTGGGGTCCGCGCGGGTGCAGTACCAGCTGCGCGGAAATCAGGAAATCGTCGTAATGACGCGACCAATACGGTAAATCTTTTCATGATTAATGACGCGAAAGCGATTTTGTAGTGTTCGCCCTCGTGTGAATTACTCCGTTGAACAGAACAAATTAGGATTGTCGATGCTCGAACCGACCGGGGTATGAAAGAGTCGGATTGTGACACCTGCGAGCTAGCCGTATATGTTACGCAAATGAAGAACTAAACTGCCCCACGAGAAGTGGTGACGTATACTTCCGCAAAACAGAGCAAAGTAAAAAAAAATAATAATATCAAGCAGATCACGTACTTAAAAAGTGCTCGAATGTTATTAGATTTTTATTATTTCTTTTTCACAATTCGCGGTTTGATTTAAATATATATTTATCTTCTCTCAGAAAAACAAAGTTTAATAATGAATTGTCTCACATGGTGATAAATAAAAAGTAATGTGTCGATTCTTTAAGAAAAATATTATTAATTCTACAGAATTCTTTGTAAGTGCAATATATTTCATTAATTTATAATGGGTAACCTACATATTTACACAAAAATTGATAGCTAATATATATGGTATGTACAAATGAATACTTTATTCTACGAGAGAACAATTGCCGACACCGTGGTCCGCGTCACACGCGATGTTGATTATTTATTTAGCGCTTAGTAACGAGCGAAAATCGAAAACATTCTCTCGTAAAACAAAGCGTGTGTAAACTTTATATAATACATATTATATATACTGTATATGGTACATGTATTTTACAAAACTTCCTCGCGCGATACGCTTCATGAAATACATACGTACATACGCAGCCCCCAGTATTTGTGTGTACAACGTTCTCGAAAAGAAATTTTCTACACGGCTGCGGTCTACTTTTTTACATACGCGATTAATGAAGGCGTGTGTGACACGGGGCAAATATGACAACGATATTTTCTAAAAGTTTTTCTACAACAATATAAATCACATTGCATTCGTTACAACAATCGTTTATTAGTTTAGTCATATTTAACCCGGTGTGACAATTGTGAGCCTGATTAATTTGTACGCGTTAATTTGCTTCAATAAATGCAGCCAAAAAACGGCAAGATGAATAAAACTTGTCATTGTTTGGTAAAAACTCGAACAATGGCAAATAATTAACACGCGTATGATGCATAATTACACATCGTATTGTACAGTAGTTGTACTGCATCCATGCATATACTTTTCGAATCACTTTAATATGTGTGTACGTGTGTGTTTCGCTCAAACACGAATTTATAAATGATTATCTTGCGTAAAAATAGCGATTGATTATGAAAATTCATTTTTGCTTCTTTGTTAAACAATAAACTTTTGAATAAAATTTTCTCGAGTTTGGATATAATATTTACGTTGATCATCGATGTGTTTCTTTTTCTTCCAAATGCAAAGACGTATATTTATTACAGATTCGCAGCTAATCGCAGATCGGTGATGTAACAATGCGAACTCAAAGTAAACTTGCTATTGCGTCTTGTGCGATCCTCTAATTAGATAGAGGCACACATACAATGCATACATACAATTGTAAAATATTAATCGGTCGGAGTTATTTCACTACCTAGCCGGATGTGTTGAAAATTACGCCACAATAACAAACAACTACATTTGAGCGAAACATTTATCGGATGTCGAATGTTTCTCGGATAAACTTAAAAAAGGTCTCTCAAGTATTTACAAAACCTCAGTAAGCTCTCACAGTTAATTGTCCGTCTTGCGTAGCACCTCTTCCGCCTTCACTCTCAACACTTCCGCGCTCTGCTTCCTGATCTCGTCGTCGGACGACGCCGAGTCCTCCTCCTTGTCGTTCTTCGAGCTCAGGTTCTGCGGTATGCTCTGCATCCCCAGATTGAGAGCATGCCCGTGCAAGTGACCGCCCAGAGAGTGGCCGTTCACGTTACCGTGATTCAGCGACGAGCTCGGATTCAGACCGACCGGGAGCATCGTGCCGAGCGACGCCAGATTTTGCGGCAACGGCAGTCCGATGTATTGCGAGAGCAACGCGTGCAAAGGCAACTTGGGCGCGCTCGCGGGCCAGGGTGGCGGAAAAACCGGAGGGATGAACCAGGGAAACGCGCCTGTCGGCGGACCCGCAGAATCCGCGCCGGGAACGCCGCTGGCCGTTTGCAGCAATCGCGCGTGAAGAGACAATTCGTTTACACCTGCAAACAGTATTCGAGTCGCATAGTTTTTTTCCTGTTGTTTTAGAATCCTCTTCGGAAAAGCGGCTCATTTCCATTCCACGCGTGTCAGCTTTACGATTTAAAAACAAAACTTAGTTTTTCTAACACACCATGTTTGACTCCACGCTCTAATATTCGCGTTTCAGATTCCTATTCTTTTTTTTTTTTTTTTTTTTTTTTAATAGTTGTGAATTGTCCGGAGTTGTCAGTAAAATCAAGTAAAAATGTCACACGATCAAGATACTAGCGTGGCTTTTCTCGCTGCGGGCTTTGCAAGTTTTATTCGTGCGTTTCGTGAAAAATTAATCGGCCACATTTTATATTACGCATCATTCGCACGTGATGGTTGCGACGGCCGACACTAAAATTAGACGTAATTGTCACCGATTGCATCTACCCTTCAAATAACTCGTGCTTTTTGTCGTTCGTCCCCCTACGCATATTAGCGAGGCGTAACGCCCGTGTTACTACGTTACGGCGAAACGAGGAAGCAACAATGGACGAAAACAAAATTCACGATTGTTTGACAGTTGGTGACAAATAAGTGAATTATTTACAAGAAATTTAAAATCGTATAAAATCTTTTACTTATATTACTCGAGAGATTATATATATATATATTTTTTTTTTAAATTAGAGAGAAAGACATTGAACGAAATTGAATTATTTTTCTATCCTTGAACTCACCGCCTTGCTCCACGTGCATGAAACCATCTCTGCCTAACGCTTTTTCCTTCTTCCGCCATTTCGCACGTCGATTCTGAAACCAGACCTATAAAATAAAAAGTAAAAAAATACACTTTTATGGAGCTACTATATATATGGCAAAACGCATCTTCCGTATAACCTTAATATATTAGTAAGTTGAGGGTTGATTTTTTTTTTGTCCTAATTAACGGCGTTATCGAGGCACTAGATTATTCGTCATGAAAATTTAGACAAATTGGCAGAAAAGGGTATAGAGCATGAGAACCCTAGGCGCGCGTATCAGAACGACCAACAAAAGCTTGCTCTCGAGGTTGATTAAGCTAATTGTTAACAATTATCCTGATTTCCTTCGTACCCCTGAGTGCTAGCAGTCCCTGCCCTCGGTCTTATCCTCGGTCTACCCTTGACGACCCTATCGCTGGCCAGTTGCCGTAGAAATGCTTTTACTTTCCGCTCGAGCTATTCTGATTTTTTTCGTGGTACCAGCAACAAAAAAATAAAAGATAAAAAGAAAATATTATAATATAGTTTATCTCACGTAATATATTTTATCTCCTTGTGAACATTTTGAGACTAAAAAATTTAAAAATGTGAGAAAATTTGAAATAAAGATATTTAAGACAGAAGAGAAAAATGTTTATTGTATTAATTTATTAATGAGAGAAAAGTAGACACTGTTGAATTGAGATTAATTAACAAGTTAGATTATAGTTGCGTTGCGGAGTGAAATTAAGTAATGTAAGAAAATCGCGAACGCACTGGAAGGAACAAGGTGACATCAAGGAAGAGAAGAGATATAACGTTGAAGCGAGGGAAAGAGGTCGGAGAGGCAAGGGCAGGAAATTCAATTGCCTAATTGCTGTTAATTATTTAATCGCTCCTGAATAGCCCCTAACGCTTAAGTGCTCGCAAACCTTGCGTCATTTAAGCGACCCGCCGCGAACTGTTGAAACTCGAAAGTTTGCAACGCCGACGCGTTTCTATAACTGCCATATTAATCTCTCGAACCATTTGCCACGTTCTCACAGCTTGATTTGCGCGAAATTAGAGTTTTTAAATACACATAAAACAAATACATTATTGCGTCTTAATTATAAAAAAAAAAAAAAAAACATTTTTATTTTAATTTATGGACATGTATTTTCGTGTAATTAAGATCCGTCAGAATTTCAACATTATTGCTGTAATTTGTTAGTGCGACTCGTGGAAATTCCGTGAAAGCGCGTTACTCATGGGAACCCATATGTAAAAATTCTGTCAGAACGTCCAGCGGGGTCGCAATTTGTTTCGAATCGGGGTGTAGGAAACGTGAGAAACGACTCGCGATTGCATTACCATATGCGCGCGATCGTCGATACATCGGCCAGCCGTTAATACCGAAAAATGGGGTAATTTTGCATCTGGAATCGGCGCGAGTGCGGGAAGAAGGGGATTGGGACAGGAGGATTTCCTAGATTGAAATAAAGTGGCCGTGGCACCAGTGCGCCGCGGCGGATCATTTAGCGGTTTTGTCGAGCGACGGCCAATTGCCGGCATTGTCGCTCCGCTGTACCACAATGGGCCAATCGGAATGCTCTCTGTCTCTTTTCAGCATCACTGCCACCCTTCCGTCGTGCCAGCGGTCCAACGCAACCCCTCGCGCTCTCACACATTTGTACGTGTGTATAGTGTGTATGGATGTGTGTATATATAATATACTGCACGTATACAGAAATCATATGAGTATGTGCGCCTCTTCTGAAATTGTCGACAGTTTCTTTGTCGCATGTCAGAATGAAACAATCAAATCGGCGATTCCAAGAACTCGATTTGAGGATATTGGCTCGTTGAGAAATTCGATAAAAGATTTTTTTTATATTCGATATATAAAATTTTTGACACATAAAATTCATTTTAAAAAACTATGATACTACATTATAATTATTCTCATTAATTTTTATACATGCGTAAATTACGATCAATTCTACTGACTTTTTATTTGGACAAGTGAACTGTAATAATTACTTTAATTATTATTTAATTGTACTAATTGCAGCATTGTTAATTTATGTGTATTTCTCGTGCAAACGAGAATATAAATTGTATGATTATTTTATGTAAAAGTTTATCAATTGATTTTTCGCGTACACAGGACGGTGTGTATTAAAGAAAGAGCAAATATATCCAGATGTGCATACGTGGAAACAATGTGTGTTATCGCGAAATGAATTGTATTCCCCTTTGCGCTCTGCAGAGTATTCTCGAATTTTCAAGAATGCTGCTTTGAAATAAATGCAAAGCAGATTACCGTTCTGTATACAAGGCAATTCTTCTTCTTCTTCTATGGAATTAATCATCAACGGATTTTGAGGCGTAGCATGTGTTTCGCGAAATTACAGGATGTACAACGGTTGCGCGAAAGTTTGCGACACAATGGTCTCTAATTAGTTAAGTGGCTCGCGCCTTAAGACTAAAACCGAAGTGTAATCCTGCAAACGCTCAAGGATGCACTTGATGCACTTCAAGTCTCTGTAAGGCTCTGAGTTCAACTAGTCACTGCATGAAAATTGTTGCACGTGAAAATCAAATCTTATTCTATTGTGTGTGTGTGTGTGTGTGTGTGTGTGTGTGTGTGTATGTGTGCGCCAATCGTTGTACAATATTATGAAAGAATTAATTTTCACTTTGATGACACACAAGTATAAATAAAACACTTTATATAAAAATATAAAATTATCAATTTTCATTTGATAATATTTAAGCGAATATAAATATGTTCTTTTGTTGTTGCGCTATCAATATATTATTGATTTATTACAATGTTCGTTTATATGATTTTATATAGCTGTAAGTTCTTTTAATAGTTCCATATTTAACGTCTCGAATTTACACACACGAATTTCCAGCACCAGCCTTTTAAACCTCATCGCGCTGGCCGAATCTAAAGCTCGTCATTCAAACTACTTACGAAACTTGCGAATGTCACTATCAAATGCGTGAAACTCAGCGACGTTCGCGCGTGCCTTTCGGGCTTTGTGAATTCGTTCGAGCCAAAGCGGCGAAAGGTTAATTATGCTTCTGCGACTCTCTCTCGTCGTCTGCTAAAATCTATCCTGATCTCTTTCTCTCTTCCATCAAGTCGCATTTGTAATGTTCGTCGAATTCGTTATTGCAGAAAAGACGTAGTTTTTACAAATACATATAGTGGTCATAAGATAATATCACAATATTTAATCAATTCTTTCTCTCATAGAACACGGTGAAATTTTAATTAAAAAACAAATAATCCAATAATAAAATAAAACAAATTATCTTTGAATAAAAATTCTCAATTTGTTTAGCATTTGCAAAAACTTATCGTTTTCTACAATAATCGAATTTTTTTATCAAAACTACCTGAACTCTAGCCTCTGTAAGCTCCAGTCTCATGGCCAATTCTTCTCTGGTGAACACGTCCGGATATTGCGTGTTCCCGAAGGCTTTTTCGAGTTCGTGTAGCTGATAGGTCGTGAAAGTAGTGCGAGATCTTCGCACTTTCCGCGGCCGATCGGATTCACCCAGATTCAGAGGATCGTGCAGAGCGTCGTTGATCTGATGATCGCTCAGATGACCGAGCTCCGTGTCACCACCGTCGACGACAGCGTCGGACGACGTGGCGTGATCTGAAATCAACGATACGCAATGTTGATAACTCAATAACCCTGCTCTATAATAATTTCCTCGATAACATCCTTGTTCTCATAAAAGTGTTTCGAAACGCGATAAGAATTACATTTGCTTGATGGCGATAACAGCGCGCACATTTGACACTTTATAATAAATTGAACAATTTTTTGTTTCAACAATTTAATGACAAATGAACATTATTTTATTCTAAAAGATAATAGAGCAGAAAAATATATCGGATTTTATTATAATAATATATTTTTCAAAGATGTAATAACATTTTATATTTTTAAATTCTAATTATTTTAAATTTGTACAGTTTGAAAAATCACAATTTTATTTTGTCCGCTTTATTTTCTGAACCGATAAAATAAAACGTTACGTCGAGTATAGTTAGAAATTTTCGTAAAAGTTGAACTTTAACCTGGTAAAGGTTAAAAGTATAATAACTATTTTTCTGAACACACACGCACACACATCTATAATAAGACGCAAAAATATGCAACCCTCCGAATTTATTCGGTATGCGTATACCCGCTTGTTAAATAGTCATATATGTCAAACGATTGCTCCGATACTTGAACGCGAGAGACGATCGAGGCGATTAAGCCATATCGCTCGCGTTGCCAAAACGAAATTGTCGTTTTGCCTGATATACCGACCCTGGCGGCAGTGGCGGCGGCGGCGGCGACGGGGAGGATACGCGGGCGCAATTTCATTTTTAAGCCGCACAACGACCGGTACCGATATAACCGATACGCCGATGACGTCCGATCGGCGGATTTGCCAATTTTTAAGCCTCACCCGGCGCTTCATTTTTTTTTTGCACCGCTCCATATCCGCCCCGCGTGTACACGCCCGCGAAATACCCTACAAATGTAAGTGCGCACATTATACGTACGTGCTCGACAGTACTTAAAAGCCGTCGCTGTCAGTGATTAGCAAATATCACGAGTGCATACTGCCTACCCTTCCATAGCTGCCTCCTCCTCCTCCACCTCGTCCACCTCTTTTCCCTATCGCGATACAGCAGCAGTCTTGCACCCTTGTGCAACACATGCCCGGTTCTCTGCGATCACACCCGTTCCCGTTCCCCCGTTCGTACTTTCTATCGTGACCACTCGTTCCGTCTTTCCGCGAGCATCGATGAGGACTTAAAGCCCCATTAAGAGTAAACTACACGTGGACGTAGCACAGCCAGGTATTTTGTTTGATCCGCGTCAGGCGAGAAATCGCGCCGTATGTCGACTTTACGAAAATTGTTGTGTGATTATTATAAGATAATCATACATAAAATGTGTACAGAAGGAACGGAAAAAGATTATGTACGCGGACAATCGTGGTAAGATGATGGAAATTTCGCGGTCATGCCGAAGTGACAAGTTTATTGATGGATTTACTATAGTTTAAAATTTATAATGTATGTTATAACTTTGGATAATTCGACGATTATTGGTCACAATTATTTCAACAGCTTTATTATAAAAATATAAACTCTCGCAAATCAATATATATACATATATATATATATACATATATATATATATATATATATATATATATATATACATACATACATATATACACGAACAAAATATTTGAAAAACTCTTCTGCGCGCAATTTTGTACAGCTGCTCAAATAATAACAATTCGGACGATCTGCATATAATTTCAAGAGGCACTTGATGCGTCAAAAATAAATTCATACTAACGAGGTTTTTTAAAAGATAGGAGGAAACGAACCATTAAATGATGCATTTTGACGAGATGTTACAAAGGTATCGTCGAGCGTTTTTTTTTATGCGAACAAAAAAATAACAAAACTCTCTCTCATAAATTTCATAAAAATGCATCACGCTAATATTATACGGCAAAAACCACCCGCAGACGGAGCAAGACTCGAGTACTGCAACGAACTTGTTACTCTCTTTGATACTCGTAAGAAGTGATTTACATATACATGCGCGCGTCACAAATTGCCGCGCGATTTATATTATTCCCTTTATGCGAACCCTCTCTTGTGTCAGTAATCTTGAGAATGATACAATCGATCTTTTTCTGGATGCCTCGTCTTTCACATAACATATGATTTTTTATAAATCATCTCTCGTATATCAAAGTGTATCTTGAGCGGTCAAATTCATTATTGAAAATCTAATAATAGAGAGAATCTAATAATAGATCGAGCCTAGTAATAAAAATATCTGATAATAGAGAGGACAAACCGAATCTCCATCAAATTATTTGAAAACGTTAGAGTTAATTATAAATTATATATTAAATAATTACAAAAATATCAATATATTAAATAAAACAATATATATATAAGTATATAAAAAAGCATATAAAAAGACAAAATTTTTTGCTCTCATTGTCCTTAAATATTTTCCTTAGTTATAATCTCAGAACCTAGTTTAAAATAATATTTATAGCCATTGTGCGCGTATCAATATATATATCTTATAAAAATACTAGAATATATTTAGATTTACATATATACATTGAGAAATAATATAAAACTTGACAAATGTGCATTAAGTATAAAACTTTACAAATATATATATATATATATATATATATGTAAATATACATATACATATATGTAAATATATACACATATACATATATATAAATATATATACATACATGTGTATTTGTCAAGTTTCATATTTAATTATTCAATGCATACACATATACAACTTTTATATATATACATAAACTTCTGAATTTTCAACGTGCTTTGGCTTATTGATGAAATTGATGTAAATTGCATCTTCATAACTCCAGCGAACTGGGCTAATTAATTAGCAATAAATGCATTAGCTGGCATATCACGCTTTAGATTAATACATCTAAATTGGATAACAACCCGAGACCGAAGCAGCAATTACAAAGTTACAACGGTCCGTTACGACTCCGTCTACATCCGCTTACGTGCATACATATATGCTCCAGACTAATTTCACATTAAATTATAATCTGCTTCACGAGCGTTTTCGCGAAATCACTTTACATTACTCTCCGATCTTTGAAATGATATTTGATTTAATAATTTCGAACTTGTCACAAGCAATCTGACTAATTTTAGTCACAATTTGATCGATATCAGTCATACAACGTCTTTCTCGTTAATTCACTGATAAGTTATTTGAATATTTTTATCCAAAACTTTTTTGTTTTAATATAGACTTATTTGTTTAAATTTTGAATTATTTAATAAAAATTTTAAATATCTTTCTGTCAAAAAAAAATTTTTTAATGGAATGTAAAAAACTTAAAACTTTTTACGAGCATATAATTCTTCTTATTATCTTGTGAAAAAAAATGGATTTAGGTGACACAAAGGGACTCCCGTAGTTCCACCCTCTCACATCTTATCTTATCTTATCTATCTTGTGAAAAAACATCAAATTATGTATTAAATACCATATCACAATTAAATAATATTTCAAATGTATATTTTAATTTTCCTGTTTTTTTTCTTATTATTCTTATTACTCGGGGTTTACCCTTGCGTTTCAATTTTTATCGAACTTAAACCTGTGAAAGAGTCGAACAAAATAAAATCTAATTTCACATGTGACTGCAAGATCAGGACGATACATCTCTAGTGTACATACATCCCCTTGCACGTTTCCTCTCCCGGACTAATTAGACAAGCATTTACAACTCATGTGCAATAATGCTAATCCTACTTTTCGGTGTCGATACACAGACAGCAGTTGTGATAGGATGAACCGAGGAACGATTGTAAACGTATGCGTATACATGTATCAGTATATATATATATATGTATATGCGTGCAACGCATACGCGTATATATATATGTATATATATATATGTACACACGCACGAATTACCGTACGCACACGCACACGAAAAGAGAGGCATCGTCGTACTAATCCAAGCTGAATGGAGAGATTTCAATGTTTTTATGTCGGGGCACAATGGAGCACCCACTTGATGCTTAGCTCTTCATTGCTTTTTATTAAATCTATGGTACGCCGGCACACGCCTCGTGTGTGGACCAGGCGGTCAGGACGAAACTAGGCGCAGTCAAGTGAGGAAGGGTAACGGGAAGGGCTCGTGTGGGACGGAATTAAAAATTTATTTACTGTGGCTCCTGTATCTCTCTCCTCCAAACACATGTTGCAAATCGTTCCGTCGCGATGACTAAAGAAAAACCGGTTGCACTAAGATTGACAGCATTGAAATATCTCCGACGAATATCCGCGTAAGAGAGAGATAATTAAAGTACAGAAGTATGTTAGAAGAAGGAATTAGAGATCACGCTGAAAAGAGGATCTTTTCGAAAATGTTTTGGGATTTTCTTGCGATTTGGAGCCACTTGTTTTCACAATGATTAGAACACAATGACGGAATCGTTTTGGAATTACGAACGAGGCTGCTTTTAGGGTAGACAAAAAGGTCGTTTTTCCGGCGCTATGCAGATTATGCGTCTAAGCGGTAAAAGGGATTTACGAACCTCGTCCATTTTGTGAAATATACTTTCGTGAGACAGAAACGGATTATAAGTAGCTAAGGACTTTACGCTGAAAATCTAATAAAATCCTTAAGAGGACTTACGTTAATACTCCCGGGCTTGCGCGCATTCCACGAGAATAAAACACGAGACGAGACAACTATTCAAAAAATAGTTTGTGGAACGCGCGCGTTTGCGAATATTTTTTTTTTTTGTTTTTTGTAAAATAGAACTTTGTTCGCGCGATTTAAAGACGCGGGATACGTAATATTGATTGTGCACTCGGCGCGATCGTTTGCGCGCATTACATACGGTCTTTAATAATTTATACGGTCGTTATATATCCAGAAAATTGTTCCTAGGATTTCTCGCACTTGTACGTCACGTGTAACATTTCTGCATGTATCACAAAGAGATAGGTGCACAACCGTACATACAATACACATACACGCAATGTTTGCACGTCGTAACTTCGTGCCGTAAATTCGCGTTACAGCAGTTATCATCCGATCGCGCGTATAAATTAACAACCAAGTAAATTCCTTTATCTCGGGTAACACATTCTATGTAAAAGAAAAACAAAAAACACTAAGAGAACGGATAATTCAAGATAAAAGCGCGTCGTCGAGCCGATTTTTTTTTTTTTTTTTTTTTACAGAATCGTAACATCGAAAGCAATGTTATCCCCTGTCAGTCATTGCAGTTGTTAACAATCTGGAAAATCGACAAACACATATTAAAAGGCAACAGTGTTCGTGCGTTTAATAAAAACGGTGCGATAGCAATCGCACGTTGTTCTGTTTGCCTATAAGCCACGGTCTGTACCTCGCTTCTGGTAGCGTAATAATGTAGTTCTTTAAACTTGATAACACGACGATTCATCACGCCATGACGATTCCACAAAGTGCACGTATCGAAACAAGCCGCCGCTCGTGTGTCTCTCTTCGTCAACCTAATCGCGCGCATGCACTCGCGTGTCGCAACATCGTGTGCGGTAAATTCACGTTACACCGATCGTCGCCACAGATTCGTAACCCGCCGACGACCTAATTACGTTACATTGCCTTTAATCGTACAATTCTAAACGCAGCAATATATAGTGTATTTCGTGTAAGACGTCCACGCGTACACCTTTCGTCGTCAACAATTTACTTACTTGCAATTAAAATTTATTTTTGATCTCTTGTCATTAAAATATATCACGTGTGTGTGTTTCATTTTTCTCGTTTTTATTTAACATTCACAATTCATCATTTTATATTACAAAAGTGTTATCACAAAATTAACTTTTAGGCGTACGAATGAACATATACATCAAATACATACGTATCAAAATTATCGAATATTCATTTTTCAATGAGTGCAAAAATTTACTGATTGTCATTTTGAAAATTTAACCAAATAATTTGAATTATATAAATTACACGTGTGGATGTGTGTTATCAGAGAGATAAGATTTGCGTTTGTACTGAGAAATAACTACAGTGAAAAAAAAGAGCAATGTTATCGCGATTAATCAAGATATAATGAACCAGTAACAAAGTTTTTAGTTGACGAATGATCAAGGATTCCACGAACTCATTCCGGAAACGGAACGGACTTATTGATTTTACAATTATTACGATCATAACAGACATGATTCATTATGACTAAACAGCGTGTTGCAAACTTTTCAATCGCAACTTAAAAAAATTGCTACAATATTGTCTGTTTTGTAAAGTTACAAAATCTTTTAAATATAATCGATTTATAAAAATATTTACTTGTTTTTTTTTTAAGTTTACTTTCCGCGTGTACAAGAACATAGTAGTTGTATAATATTAACAACAAATATTTATTTTTAAAATTATTACTGACCACGTGGCAGTAATTATTATCAAATACATGTTAAATTTAGATAAGAAACCGGTTGATATGTTTTTCTTAAAACATATTGTCATACCTTCGTCTTTATTGTGGCCCAATATCTGATCGATGCTGTACACGATACTATTTCTCTTCTGATTATAAGTTTGGGCCATATCGAGAGAGGAAGTCGTTCGGCAGCTCTTCGAAAATCACTGACGTGATTGGTAAACAATTGGTAAACAATATGAAAAAAAAATAAACAGTCCTTGACCCACGAAGATCACTTTCAAATAAATTCTGTCCCGGGTGGCACGCGCGCAAATTGAATCTCCCTTTGAGAGCCGCGTGTCCCTCTGGCCGAATATGCCTCGGCCCAGAAAAGAAGCGAGCGCGAAAGTAAACGAGAGAACGAAAGAAAGATAGAGAATGACAAGAGACAGAGGGATGTTGAACGCTCCACGCTTTGTCTCCTTTTTCTCGACGGAAAATGCGTCAACCGACGGCGCACCACGAACTGGCTCGTCGGACATGAAAGCAGCCCTTAATATCCGCGGACATCCGCCCCACCTCGCAACCCCTAACACCGCCATATTAGCCCCTCGGCCAATGAGAGCGCATGCTGTTCACCCAAAGCCACCCCGTAATCGGAGGCTGAATGAAGCCTGGGCGGGGAATATTTTGCCCTTTCCGCGTAAATCCCCGGATTTTTTCTGGCCCCCCTACTCGTCTTTCCCTCTCTGTCTCTTCGCCCGCCCTCTTGCCGTCTCTTTTCGTCCTCGCAATCGTTTCCTGTTCCTCTACATTCAATCTATCAACGCCTTCTACGTCCTTTTCTTCTGACCGTTCACTTTCTTTCCTTCGTCTCTTCTCTACGTCACTTTCATTCTATATTCCTTATTCTTTCATCCGTCAGTTCTTCGCGTTTTCTTTTCCTTCCGAAGTGCGAAGATACAATTAGATAATTCGACAATATTGTGGAATTTTATTTACATATTGCATACAAAATTTTCCGCTCAAGGGAAAACCGCGTATGGACATTAAAAGAAATAAGAATAACGAGTCAAATTTACATTTTTTGTATATTTTACAAAGAAGTTACCATGCCAACATGTGCAAAATACATCTATTAAACTTAAAACAATCTAATTACTAGCAACAATGGTAAGAACATTATACGGACGGAGTTTTTGTTCTTCGTATTAGTTTTTATTTTCTCTCGACAATAAATTGTTTAGAGCGACAGTAACAATTCAGTTTGCGCTTTTTATGAAAGATGTTCTATTTAAGTTATGACATATGTATAAACATATGTTGTTTTTCATGTATTGTTACTAAAACTTATATTTTTTATAATATATATTTACAATATATATTTTTTGTAATATATTTAGGTATACAAATCACACAAAAATAATTTATTTAAATATAATAAATATATAGTAAGTAACGTTTAGTTTTTATAGCACTGTAAAATGTGCAAGGTTGTCGCTATTTCTATAGCAAGATTTTTTTCAAGCATTGAAGCAATTTAACCTATGACAAGACAATTTTTTGAATAATGCGGCGGAGTCTACGAAATTATGCAAAGACATGCCGAACGGCCAAAACTATCTGTCACAATGCACTTATAAATGCAGAAATAAGCCTCAGGTAAGTTTGAAATATTTAAAGAAGTTTGTTTTTCCAGGAAAATATTTAAAAATCTTTTCCGAGGAATTTATACAAAACGCAAATATGCGCGTAAGAGGCGCCACGTCAATTTGCTAGCGATTGTATGTTAATTCTGAAATAACAACAGCTCTGAGAACGTAAAGATCATAAGTCAACATCCGAATCTTAAACCAGTGTTTTCCACTATATAGCTATAAAATTTTTTTACCTGCTAATAAAAACAAATAAATAAAATGTAGTTAATGAAGGATTAAAGACCATAACGCGCGAATGTTCTCTATCTATATAACACAGATAATATATTTCTGAGAAAAAGAGAGTTATTACATAAATTTATTAAATACAATAATTCAAATAAAGTTTTTCATTAATTTTGAATAACAATATAAGTGACACACACACACACACACACATACACACGCACAGATTATTTATCGAGAGTTTATGCGACTTAGCCGTTTAGTAGCTCAAAGTGACAAAAGCATGGTATCGAATCTCGGAAAATTGATTTGATCGTACAGAATGTATGGCGGCATCTATAATAAAAGGCGAGAGTGTTCGAACTCGTCCCTGTGTCTCACAGTCGACTTTATCATGCAAATATATCGTGTGTATGTGCGCGCTGGTGACGACAAAAAAAAAAATAAATAAATTTCTCAGAGTGTTTATTTTGACGTGTCTAATAAAAGTGCTCGTGGAAATTATTTGGCTCTTCATTTACGCACGTGTAGCTTAGCGCGAATACATATCCGATGCAACCCCGCGAACAAACGATGTCATATACGTTCGCGCGCGCAAAGCGAGGAACTCTTTATCCCCGTTTATCCTATAAAAGTCAGCGGCTCTTGCGGCTCGGTTTATCCGATGCTCTCTCGGTGTGCCAGGTCGACAAAGCCTGGTTTGCGCCTCGGGGGCCAATAACGCGACGCCCCTGATATACAACCACGAAAGACCGGCGCAAACTCCTTCGCCACCCCTTACCGCCGTCGTCGCGTGGTGACTTTCTCGTCGTGTCTGTTAAATCGCGTTGTTGTCATCTCGAAAAAGAGATCCGAAAAAAAAAAATCCTCTGTGACGACCGGAAAGAGAAGCGGAAAGAGAAGCGGTAATTCTGTTTCTGAGAATTTATGTTGTTCCGGAAAGCATTTGTTTACTTGAATATGAAAAAGTGACAAAGTTGATAATTGAATATATTAATGAACTTAATTTTTTTAAATTTAATTTTTGTTTCTATATATTAAGATTTAATATTTATATTACAATTTATATTTGAACATTTTTGTACAACTTTTAATTTGTTAAATTTTATATTGTTAATTTTTTCTGTATTTTTATATGTACATGTGTTTTTATTTACTTTTTGAGTTCATCTCTTTTTGGAAATCCAAACCATACGGATTATTTACCGTACAGCTTTCGCTTCGTTTATCTCATAAAATTCAGTGATTCTTCGTTTCATCTGGCGACAACAATACGCAGCATGGCCTCGGGGACCAATAACGACGTCCTTGATACCCTTATCCGCCCTTAGAAGATCAGCGTTGAGATTCATTCCCTTTTATGTTGTGTTGAGAGAAAGCTCGCCAATTTGAGACACGCATTATCCCGTCGTGTTACATCTAGCCAGGAGTTCATTTCGGCGTTTAATTTATATGTCTCAGTTAATCATGTAATTTTCCGGAAATGTACATTAGTAGAAAATAATCGTCGAAGCAGCATTATTGTGTGCTCTATTTATCTAACCTTTGTAATTTACCCGATCTATTTTATATAACTGTTTATGTACGCGCGCGCGTGTGTGTGTATGTATATATATATTCTTGTAAATCGAGAACTAAACATATATTAGAAGAAGAAACTACGTATAATAACATATGAGATACTCATAAAAAGTATTAATTAACACAATAAATGTATGTTTGTGTGCGTAAAATTTGGCCTATTTATTCTAAAACTACATTTTTTTCGAAAAAAACTTGTTATATACAAGTAGTAAAAGCAAAATGATATCGTGACACGTGTCTTGCCGTTACCGACAACATCGCCAAGCCAATGCAAATGCAGACGCACGGAGTGATCTAACTTTTAACACTCGCGTCAGTTATGGACGTCGGTAATTCCCGTTGGGGTGGCGTTTGATCTTCGCGCTGGTTCGCCGGGTCCATTGTGAATTGTATCTGCTTCCTTTACGCCATGATTCCGCTCCAGCTCGTCGCTTTACGCGCCGCGAGCAGAGCGAGCCACCTCTCTTTTGCAGATTTAATGCCGTCTATTGTAGGGTCCCGGTGGTGCTGTGCATACCTTCCTCGTCTTCTTCCTGTCTCGCGTTCCACTCTTGCGTGTGCCATCCATGGAGCACCGTTTATTCATTCTTCACAGACCTATGATATAACAATTACGCCCATACGAGCTGTTAAGCCCAGCGCTAAGATCGCTTGGTGTCAAAAGAACGACTTCTTTTCACCCGCTTATATACCCGCTTGCCCGACCTTGTAATTTCTTACTAAGATACGGTTTCTATATCGACGTTTCAAATCGCTAAAATAATTTTCGAAGGAATGACCGAAATAGAATACAGTTTTACAAATATCAGCATATTATGTAGAAGATTTTGTTATATAAGCTACACAAAATTTTTTTTCTATTCACACGCATTCATCTTATTTTCTTTCTGGAAAATGTGTAATCTGTTGTTTCGATTGATGTGGAGTCAGGTTGACAGATGATCAGTTTTTCATCGAAGTATACAATTAAGAAACACACGCCCCAGCGGTAAGGTTGCGCAGAATTAAGTAGAGGACGCAGAAAAAGGTAATAACGTGAATTGAGATCATTTACAAAAATAGAAAATATATATTGTCGAATATCTCTGTTCGCATGCAAAAAGGTTCGAAGAAAACACACACGGATAGATATACAGGGATCACATGCAGAGAACGAGAGAGGGATCGCGAAAACGAACGGCGACTACGCCGCTGCTAAATAAACTGAAGCCTCCTCCTCTCTGTACAGCAGCCCGAGGGGGGGTGGGAAGGGGGTGGCAGGACGGGGGAATAGCAGGGGGGTTACTGCACACCCCGGCGTGACTGCGGGGATTTTATTAACTTCTGCACAACGGCGGCGCGCCGCACATTTCGCTCGGAGCAGAGAGAAAACGGAGCAGACCTCGACCCCGACAAACAGCCAAATAAAGAGATAGTAATTATTGTGTTTGTGCCAGGTTTATTTCTTCGCTGCTGGCTCGTCCCTCGAAACGATTCCTCTCATACCACTATCACCACCTTCTCCTCGCATCGCGACGCCCACCTTTATCCAGACTACTGTGCGGAAACGTCAAGATGACTTTTTTTTCTTCGTTTTTTCGACAGTTTACCTTCAAGACGTTGTTTTGACAACATGTTAAACCGGAGTTGATAAAATTATTAGATATAAAATTATAAATGTTTGAGACTTTGAAGAAGATATACAGAAACTAGCAATTCAAATGTTGATAAAAAAAAATCCCGATCGTAAATTTAAACAAATCTTCTATAGTCAAAAGAATTTTACTTGTCGTAATTGGGCTAAAATCGGACATGCAAAATCAGATGTATTAAACAACAATGCAATACAGGAAGTCCGATCAGAGCCGTCGGCTTTGATCTGTTACGCAGATATATAGCATCTCGCACGTGGCTAAACGTTCCCTATCGCGAGGGCTCCGTCTTCACAGTCGTCCTTCACCGCGCTCTGTCTCTCTCCCTCTTTCTCTCTTCTCTTTCTTTCTTTCTCTCTCTTTTCATATCCACGGAGAATTCCAAATGATCGCGAAA